CCTCCTATGTGGCAAGTGTGATTGTAAAAGCCCCTTTCTGAAAGCAACAGGCTCCTTCTTCACACCTTTGGTTTTCAAACCCAGAGGAGGGGAGCCAGGAAGGAGGGGCTGAGGGGGAGGAAGAGACCCCAATCTGATCAGCTCCTTCAGTCTGCAGGGCCCCATGAGGGGGCGGAGCCTGGCAGCCACGAGGTCAGAGGATCAGGAGCCTGAGACTGGGCTAATTCAGCAATGACATCGCAAGGCGCTGAAAACAATCACTGACGGTAGCTCCGGACCCTTCGCAGTTTTGAATGATTGGAAGTGCCCTAGGCCAGGCCCGCCTCTTCTCTGGGCCTCAGTTTCCTATAAAGGCAGGAGTTAGAAGTGCCAAGGCTCTGGTGGGAACAGCAGAAGTGGGTGGGCTTGCCTCCAGCTAATCCCACCCCCAGGGACCTTCCCTGACCTATAAATCAGCCTTGGGGTGACCAAAAGGCAGTTGGGTGTGCTTCCGGGGCGGGTCAGAGAAATAATAGGAAGGATTTTGACAAGTACAGCTGCGCTGGGCACGTGCTGAGGTAATCCATGAAAGGCAGCACTTCTGCCCGGCCAGGTGGCCATTCTCATGTTCAAATGCCGTTGAAGCACAGACCATGTTGTGTGGCTGGCAACCCACCCAAACCCTAAGAACTCAGCCCAAATCCCACCACCAGACTCAACTCTTCAGCTTTTCTAAAAGAACTCGAGTTTTAAGCCTTTGTTACACTCAGGGCATCCTCTGTGCTAGTGATTTCTTGTGATTATAACACCATCAGGAGAGAGAGACCTCCCTGGTGGCGCAGTGGTTGAGCGTCCGCCTGCCGATGTAGAGAACAGGAGTTCGTGCCCCACTCCGGAAAAATCCCACATAGGCGCTGAGCGGCTGGGCCCGTGAGCCACGGCCCCTAAGCCTGCGCGTCCGGAGCCTGTGCTCCGCAACAGTGAGAGGCCCGCGTACGGCGCAAAAAAAAAAAAAAAAAAAAGGTGTGTGGGGGGGTAGGATTTATTTAGATCTGCAGTTTCTAACCAAGCCCAGCCCTGAGATGCCTTTTCTTTGGCCCACACAGTATTGATACGATAATCTGTATTAGACTCGACACTTAAAAATTAGGGGATTTCACATTTAAAATATCTGGCTTTTCTTGAAAAATCAGAATGGCAACAGCAGGCCCAGAGTCCTACAGGCAGCAAGTGCCCCCTTCAGGTGAGACACAGAATCTCAGGTGTGCCCTGGTCACCACCACTCCCTATCACCCGCATCCAGCCCCTTCATGCACATAACTTACCACCCAGGTCCCTTGAACACTGGACTTTTCAACCTCTGAGCTTGAAGGCCTTTTAAGTCTCCAGAGGCATCAGTTTTCAATCCAACCTGAGCTGAGCTCACACTTCTTTTTTTGAGAAACGCCAGAAGGAATAGACAGAAGCTCGTTTTCCACATTTCTTCTCCAAGCCACAGCCACTGCTTTCTAAAAGGCCCTCTCTCAGTCTTTGCCAACAAGTGGTCCTTTGTCCTCCTCTCTGCCCCAGTATCTCCGTAATCTAAGGTGGGAACACGACAAATTAGAGAACTGTGCTCATTCTGCCTGGGGCTGACTCCGAAGGGGGAGGTAAGGGCAGCGGAGCCCTTCTCTGCCTGGCCCTCAGGCCTGTGGACCCGAGGATCTGAGGTTCTCCACCGGTTCACTCAAATGCTGTTTGATTCTGTGCTCGGCCCTGGGGGCTCCCAAATCGCACCTCAGCTTTCCCAAGTCCGGTGCTTAGCACAGTTGGCCAAGTGCCATGTGGGTAACAGGACAGACTAGGAGCGATGTTTTACCTTAGTACAGGTGCCAGAGAATGCATTTTCAATACCTGATTCATCATAATAGGAATCAAGGAGACACAGTAACGTGCCTCTCAGGGTTTAATTCCTTTGCTCCAGCTGAAGGCTCTTCTGAAGACGGGGGAAATACACCTGTAACGTTGCTACTGACGTGCACCAAGATGGGCTCAAGGGTCAGGCTTGTCCTTGGGCTCCTGGAGCACTTCCTGGCCCACATCCCTCACCCTAGGGTGGGTCCACACTGAGGGGGATGGATACAGAAGAGAAGGAAGGCACCAGTGCTTCCTCGGGGCCCGGGGAACGAGCCAAGGGCTCACGTGTTCTCGTAAAATGCACTAACGAGGCTTGGCACCAGGAGAGGGCGTCAAGGTGGAGCCCTGAGGATCCGCGCAGGAGAGAAGCCAGGGCAAGTTCCGCCTGCTCCTGGAGTCTCCAGCACGCTGGTGCCTTACAGGCTCCAAGCTTCTTCAACAAGAACCCCACTGAAGCATCTTTTAGTTCCAGTATTTCCCAAGCCAAATTACCAACAGAATCCAATGTTAATGAAGCATGTATTAGTCTCCTTCATGAGTGTTCTGCCAACACACCTTGGGAGATGCTGGTGCTGTAGAAACAATACTGGTTCTGAGTTCTCATTCTGGCTTCTCAATTTACTGTGTGACTTTGGGCAAATTATTGTCTCTCTGATCTCCACCTCCTTTATTATGTGATGGAGGTCATAATACCTGACCTGCCTATGTTTCAGGTGAAATGTGATCATATTTGGAAGTTTTTGAAATCAGAAAGTACGCAGCAACCCTGCCGATCTGATTCCCTAGGCCAGAATTAGGAATTCTGTTTTATACACACACAGACCCACACCCTCCATTTGGGGTCTACCTGGCCCATCAGAACAGGCGGGAGAGACAAAGAGATAAGCAGTTCCAACAAAAAGGGGAGAGGCCTCAGATTTCGCATTTCAGGGTGGCTGATGTTCTGTGCGGAAACCCGTGCACACATTACTGCACTGGATCCTTACGAATACCCTGCGAAGGAGGCTGTGTCTCTACCTTACAGACAGGAAAACAAACTCTGAGAGGAGTTAAGTAACTTATGTAAAGCCACACAGCCTGAGAGCAGAGTCAGCCTGGGTTGCAGCTTTGACGACTCAGAACGGATGCTGGGTCCTGGGCACCTAGAAGGCACGCGGCCAAGGCACCGATCATCAATCTTATAAGACTTGCTACTGTTTCCTCCGTCCGGACCTCGCCAGTTTCCATACCTACTAGACACACCACCAAGACAGCGACCATCGAACATTCCTCAAACTCGTGCAAAACACAAGTGACCCAAGAGATCTCTCGTCGTTTTTTTTTTTTTTCTGAAACTGGGACAGTTGTGGGGAAAAAAGAGGTGACAGAAGTGCTGTAGCTGAGATTTAAGAGACAAAACTACAAGGCAGGCAGTGCTGATGATTCAAACGGACCAACTGCAAAAAGATGTTTGAGAAAATTGGGGGATCTGGACTGGGTACTGATGAATTACGGCTTATTTTGGTGGCTGTGAAAAGGCACCGAGGCCCTGTAGGACAATGCGTTCTCCAGCGCAGGGGTGAAACGACGTCTTGGCTGTCGTAGGGGTGGGGGGTGCGGGGTGGGGTGGGGTGGGGGGACATGAGGGACTTCCCTGGTGGCCCAGTGGTTAAGACTCTGTGCTTCCAATGCAGGGGACACAGGTTCGATCCCTGGTCGGGGAACTAAGACCCCACGTGCAGTGGGTGTGGCCAAAAAAAGGGGGGATATGAAAATGTAGCAAAATTTTGGTAATTGTTTTAGGTGAATGATGAGTAAAGGGCACCGAGTAGCCAATTCTCTCCGTTTTTGTGGATGCTTGAGATGTTTCATAATTAAATAACAAAAAGTTGATTCAGACACTGGATGTGATACCAGTCTTCTTGCGTCCACTCACCCACCCTCAACCTCCCATCAGCGCCGGCTCCTGCAGACCCCTTAACTGCTAAAGCCCACTCAGTACTCAAAATGCAGCCCACCCTCCTTTGCAGCCGGCCCTGGCTCCCCTGCTACTAGACTGCGTTGTCTACAAGGGAGATGCAATGGCACAACCGGCGTGGGGGAGAAGCACACCCCAGCTTTGCATTTGCAGACACATGCCCCCTTCCTTTCTTCAGCTGTAAAGTGAGCACAAGAGCACCTACCTTGCAGATCACTTGCACTGGGATAATCCGGCAAACTGCTGGACACAGGGTCTGGCTTTTGCTAAATGCCCAATAAATGTTACCTGTCACTCCCATGATTAATCTCTCAATCTGATCACAGCACTTCCCTGCTTAAAACCATCAGGGGTTCCCTGCAAAGTTCTAGGACAAGGTCAAACTCCTGACTTAGGGCACCCACCTCTTCCAGGTCCAGCTCCACCTCCTTTCGCATCACTGCTTCCCTCCCTCGCCTCTGTCCCTCTGCACCTGCTTTGCCTCAACCTGGAAAGTTCACCTCTTCCTTGTGGCTCCCGGGTCAGCCTCTCTGAAGGGCTGCTCAGGCTCCCAGGCTGGGCCAGTGCCTGCTCTCTGGGCTCCCGTGGCCTGCACATCTTTACCCTGGCACTGATTGCACTGGACTGTCATTGGCTGACTCACCTGTCTCCTTTAGCAACCTATCAGCTCCCTAACCAGCCTGGGGTAGATTCTCTCCCAGGGGTCTACTCTCTACAGTCGATATAGGGTGAGTTTACCTGACACTCCATTGGGCAACTTGGTTTCCAGATTGTATTTCAGAAGAGGATACATTTTGACTTCCGCCTCAGGGCCTTTGCATTCACTAGGCATGAGTCTCCTGGGATCTTCTTAAAATGCATTCTGACTCAGCAGGTCTGGGGCCAAGCCCGAGATCGTGCATTTCTGACAAACATCCAAGTAGTATCAACACTGCAGGTCCCGGGACACACTGAGAAATGACTCACTCCCAACCTCAGCCGGGCTCCAGCCAACTCATCCTTGGGTCTCAGCTCAAACATCACTTCAAAACGGGCTTTCCCGACACCTCACTTCAAATGAGACCACACTTATTCCCTCCTAGAGCCCAGGCCTCACGTCTGCTGTGTGAGGTCTCCCAGACCAGCACGGAAGCCCGAGGCGGTGCTGGAGGAGTATGCCTCTCGGTTGAAAAAAAAAAGCCTTCAAGCCCCACACCCACATTTACTCCTGTGAGCTTCTGGCACAAAGTCTCTGAAGGGGGCCTGCTTGTCCTCCTGAGGGAAGAGGGCATCCAGGAGGGTGCAGAGGACTTCCTGCCACACTGGGGATTCTGAGGACTTACCAGACACCCCAGCCCACCCTGGCCAGACTCAACTTGAAAGCAGATCATCTAGAAAGGCCCACCACAGCTGTCCCTTCCCCTGGGGCTGCTTCTTGCCTGCCCCAACCCCTGCAGCAAACCCACCAGCCACTGCTCGAAGAGATGCCCCCAGCTCACGATTTCTGTTTCAGCAAAATTAGGAACAGGTGAGCGGGGATGGCACATCTCGGTGAATGAACTCCCAGAATGAAGCTCACATCACACAAATCGCCCAGAACCCTGCAGGCTGGTCCAGCTTCCCGTCCCGTCCTGTCCTGTCCTGTCCCCTCCCTCCAGCGCCCAGAAGAGCTCAGGGCCTTGCCCTCCACCCCTGCTGCCTCCCGATAGAGTGCACCACTGCCCACCCACAACCAACCAAGAGCAGGGCCCATCGATGCCCCTACCCGGGTCGGGATGCCACCCCACCCCTGGATGTTCAGGCAGGCCGGGCAGGGAACCTCCCCTCCAGGCCCGGCCTCTCCATCTCCAGCACGCTGAGGCTCCAGGGCGGGACCATGTTCTCTAGGACGGTGATGGAGGTTCATTTTGAATCCTTTCTTTATTCCATCACAACAGCCTACCCTATCGTCCTATCACCCTAAAGTCTCCACCTGTGCCCTAGCTCATCTCTCCTTGGCCACAGCGGTTCTGAAGAGGCAGGCGGCCTCTCGGAGGCTGAGCCTCGGATCAGGGTCTGGGAGCACCTGGGAAACGCTCCTGCCTGCGGTCCTCGATTTGGGAGGAGAAGGCGCGGTGACGCCCAGGCCCGCAGAGATGCTGTTTCTCCCTGGACCGGGTGGCAGATCAGTCGGGCTGAGATGACGTCCTCGGCAGGGTGCTCGGCGACAGTTCTCACTTTGTGCCACAACAGAAGGAAAAAAACCCAAACACCAACAGTCCCATCTTCAGCTAAGCATTCCTCAGATGACAATAAAACAAAAAGGAAAAGTCGACGTGATTTGGCAAAGGCTTCTTAAATTTTAAATTAAAAACAGAGAAAAACATTCACACAGAAGAGGTTCAACTGTCTGCTTTGAAGAAATATATTAAAGAAGGTGAAAAAGTTAAAAAAAAAAATCAAACCCCAAATAATGGTAAAAATAGATGTATCCTCTGTAAAATTCTGGACTAATCTACTGAGTCATTCATATCTATTCAGTATCAGAGCATAAGGTGAAATACCAAAGTATAAAAAATTAAAACACAAGACAAACCAAAACACCTTGACAGACTGCCTTTGAGCAAGCCCACCGGGCTCGCAGCTGGCTCAGGCTCCAATGCCGAGTGCTGGAAGCTTCGCTGTCTGGTCCCTGCCGCGCTTGCCCTGAGCAGACCCTCAAGGCCTTCAAAGTTCTTCCCTGGCCCTGCTCAGTTCTGTGGCATGTTCTTCTATAAACTTGCTCAAATGCTCCAGATCTCTGTTTCCGTCCTCAAATTTAATTGGGTTCTTTTTGTCCCCGCTGGGGGAGAAGTAGATGGTGGGGAAGCCCTCGACTTTGTAGCGGTCGTTGGTGACGTCGTTGGCTGTGGCATCCATCTTGGCGATGACCAGATTCTTGTGTCCCTTGTACTTCTTGCCCAGGGCTGTGTACACGGGCTCCAGCTGCTTGCAGTGCCCGCACCACGGCGCGTAGAACTCGATGAGGACGTCCTTCTTAGGGTCCATCACGATGGAGTCGAAGGTCTTCCCCACCACGACCTTGACCGGCCCCTTGTTGTTCTTGGGCACCGGTTGGGATTTGACAACTGGCTTCAGTTTTCCTGCCGAGGAAAGCAAACAGAGGAGGAGTGTGAGAGCCGAAAGGCCCCGACCCTGGCGGCTCTGACTGGACCAGGCAGTGAGGCTGGCCTGACGTGCAGGACATGGCAAGTCGGACGCTGCCAGGGCCAGCCAGGGCCTTGTCTCCAGAAGCCCACCGCCAGTTCTCTGGTTTCCTCACGTCTTCTACTTTCCCAGTCCCTGCAAAGGCCAGAGAGGGTGCAGGTGGTTCCCCACAAGGCCTAGCAGACGCTGGGTCCTGTTCAGTGAGGCCGTCACAAGAGATGCTCCCGATGCAGAGGGGTTACTAGGAGGGTGGGCGCCGGGGACTGGAAGCCACGGTGGGGAGTAGACTGAGCAGAGACGGAGAAGGAGGTCTGCCCGCCAGCCGCCAGCATTGGGGACCCGGGGCCATGTGCTCAACTAGATGAGAAAGACACTCCGCTTGATGCCAAAGCAAGTTTCCCTCATACATGAAACTTACGCCTAAGTCCAAAAGCCTGTTGTACTTTACATATTTTAAAAATAAGGCTTCTTGGGCTTCCCTGGTGGCGCGGTGGTTGAGAGTCTACCTGCCGATGCAGGGGACACGGGTTCGTGCCCCGGTCCGGGAAGATCCCTCATGCTGCAGAGCGGCTGGACCCGTGAGCCATGGCCGCTGAGCCTGCGCGTCCGGAGCCTGTGCTCCGCAACGGGAGGGGCCACAACAGTGAGAGGCCCGCGTAACCGCAAAAAAAAAAAAAGGCTTCTTGAGATTTCCAAGACGCCTGCCTTTTTTTCTATTACGAAAAAAAAAAAAAAGAGAGAGAGAAAGCAAAAGAACAGGGATTCTCCATCCCCATCTTCCCATGCCTCGGGTCCAGGAGGAAGCCTGGGCCAGGCCCCCGGCAACCAGCCGGTGTGTCCGCGGGGGTGGAGGGTGGGGGGGATGGGATGGGGGGGGCTCACCTTTCTTGAAGGCGCTGACGAAGGCGCGGAGGGCGTCGGCATCGAAGTCGTCGGGCTCCATGGCGAACCTGCGGCCGCCCTCGTCCAGGATGGCCGCGTTCACCTCCTCCCCACTCTCACTCAGCCCCAGGTCCTTCACCTCCGTGGCGAAGTCGTCCTCATCGGCCACGGCAAAGGTGTACTCGGGGAAGTCCTTGGCCACCTCCAGGACCTTGTTCCGCCAGAACTGAGTGGCTGAAAGGGCACCGAGGGCTGTGAGCCAGGCCACAGCGGCTGAGGCTCCAGATGCCGAGCGCAGACCCCGGACCAGCCTCGGGCCGCAGCCCAGGGCCCCTGCCCGCAGGCAGGTCGGGGTTGGGAGCTGGCGTCACCCGATCGCCCCCACATCTCTAATCTAAGAGGGCCCAACTCGACTCGAAGCTCCCCTCGTGCTCAAGCAGAGAGGGAAGGGGGTAGCGACACAGCCCGGGAGGAAAAAGCCCCTGAAGCCGTAAGTAACCACACACCCCAGCCGCCAACCCGGGCCTCACCGACGCGGTAGTCGAAGCTGAAGTCCACGCCATAGTACACGACCACCAGGGGGCGCCGCGAGTAGCGCTTGGCCTCGTTGGAAGACTTGCGGTGGCCGACAAGGGGCAGCGCGTGCCTCAACACGTGCTCCTTGATGGCCGAGCTCTCCGTGGAGTCCTGCAAAAAGGGGGCAGGTGAGGTGCAGCTGTCTGTTGCTGTCGATGGGAAAAGCCATTTGCTCCAAGAGACGGGCACAGGGGCCCCACTCAAGTCCACCCAGTGATGCTGGGGCCCCTCCTCCAGGGAACCCGAAGTGAGCCTCTCGGGCAACCACAGAGGCCGCGTGCCCTTCCCTCTGGGTGGGGGCCTGCGGTCCAGGTCAATCAGGTTCTGCTGGGAGAAGGCCCGGCTCCCAGATGACAGCGGCACTAACACGGGCTACACTGGGCACAGGGTCCCACCTTCCCCTGGTCTGATCCTCACAGCAGCCTCTCTGGGACACTGCACGGACGAGGAACACGGTGCCGTGATGCGAAGCGCCGCTGGGGCTCCGAGCTCCGCCTGGAGAAAGCCTGCCCCCGACTAGCCGCTACACCGAAGCCGGGGGCAGGGGTGCGGGCAGTGTCTCTCAGGAAGAGCATGGGGGCCGCACAGCTGCACGTGAGGGCGGCACGGCCACCTCGCTCTACAGGTGAGGAAACCGAGGCCCAACGAGGTGCGGCTGCCTGCCCAGCAGGAAGTGATGGATGATCACTGCTCTCTCCCCCTACGGCCCATGTCCCATCTGCAGGGATGGTCAGGAGGTGGCCCCAGGTGGCGCTGAGAAATGGCAGGCCGGGCCAGGTGGGAGGAGGCAGCAGGGACGAGGCAGAGGGCAGCTGGGCTGTGGGGTGTCTTTCAGCAGGACGGCCCCTGGACCAACCATCACTCAGGAGGTGGGCTCAAAGCCGAGGGACCCAGGACAAATGTGCTCCCGAGCTGAGCGCCTGGCACCCGCGGGCCCGAATCTGAACTCAAGGCCAGAGCCCTCCTCGCTTACGTCTGCAGCAAACAGGCTATCCCCTCACAGCAGTGCTGCCTGTGCTGATTTTACACCTGGCTTCATCTTACCTGTCCTGCCCTTGTCTTCCCTTTGTCCTAATTTTTAAATCCATTTTTTAAAAGTCGCATTTTATCTGTTGTGTGAATTTTTTACAAAGCAGCCTGAAATAATTTTTGCAACCAAGACGGTATGTAAATAATACCAAAAGAGCAAAGTAGCAGTGATGTGTACAACAGACTGTGGACCTCAACCTTTTCAGGTCAAGGACCCCTTCAAGAATCTACTGAGAGCTGCAGGCAGCCCCCCTTTCCCAGGAGCACGCACACCATACAGAACTGTGCCATCAGGGCCCCTCTGTGGACCCAGAGTCAGTATCTCTGGATGCTAAAAAGCTGGAGGGCAGGGGGAGAGATGAGACCACCCCCATATGTCCTGGCTGGGGACGGAACACACCTGCATTTTCCCCTTAGTCTGCTCCTAACTGGTTGTAGGACCTCCAGTCTGTTAGCTCACTTCTCTGCATCGTTCTATCAAATAAAGTATTTGGATTCAAGGTGTAAGGTTTTTTCCAAACCTGAAGATCTGTTCAGTGGAGTGCGGAGCCCCTGTGAAGCACTCGGAACACCGAGCTGGACCCAGGCTCACCCTGGGCTGGGAACTCCCTCTGCCCCTCTAGAGATGAGTGTGTCACCCCCTTAGGAAGACCGAGAGTGGGGGGACATAGAGGAAAGAAAGGCCAAGTCCACATGCCATGTCCCACAGCTTCACCCAGTGAACAGAGAGGCCCGTCATCACTTCGTAGGCCTCAGCGCCCAAGCCACCTGGCGGCAAGTGAGGCTTGGCTCAGACCCAGCAGCCAGCACGTCCTGGCCAGGAGCCACACCAGCCACGCAGGCCGCTGCTGGCCTGCCAGGAGCTATAAAGACCGGGGGAACCCTTCTGGCAAAAGCAGGTGGAGTTCTGCCAGGGGCCAAGGCCCCACGACCCACGAGGTATGTGTGACCCCAACCCCCGACCGCCGTCCCTCCCGCGAACCCTGACCAAGAGGCCATGCCGATGGGATGCCCCGGGGCTGGCATCCCTCGCCCACCTGGATGTCCATCACGTGGCTCTTGGGCTCATATTTGGACTGGAATTTCTCAGGCTGCATGATGACCAACTTCCCCGGGGAGACTTTCAAGAACTTGGCTATTTCAGTGTGGAAAGTGTGGTGGAATTTGTAATCCTCTCTCAGGTGGTTAGCTGAAAAATTAACAGAACAACAAATACACGATTTACTAAATTGCTTGAATGATCTAGATTCAACTCACTACCCACCATCAGTCAAAGCAAACGCCCAGAAAATCGTGTTCTTAACCACAAACGCCGTGTGGACTATATCCAGAGCTGAAACACTTGAAAGGAGTCTGGAGTTTACAACCTGGTATAGATGTAATCCCTTAAAATCTATATATCTTGGAATTTATTTTAAAAATAAACAATCTTCACAGAAAAACTCAGAGCTAATTTGTCAGGCGCTACGGTCGACTGTGGCCTCTGATGCTGAGAAGCACATAACCCTGGACAGACAGCCCAAATCCTCCTGCGTCCGTCACAAGAGCCCTCCATCCCCACAGGGAGTTTTCACACCCAGCACCCGTCGCAGGGCTCTGACTGCTCCTCCTCGAGTTGCTGGGTGGCCTGTTTGTGGGCTGCGGTTCTTTTGCTGTACATACTTTAAATCTCGGGAAACTCCCAAATGCACCCCCACTGACTGAGGATACTCTAGAACAGGGGCTGGCAATCTTTTATGGAAAGGACCAGACAGGAACTATCTTGGCTTTGTGGACCCCACGGTCACGACGACCCCGCTCTGTGCTGATCAGCGTGCACACCATCCAGTGTGCTGTGTTCTAAGGGAACTTACAAAACCAGGTGAGGACCAGATTTGGCCCCTGGGCCGGCCTGTCAATCGCTGCCCCGGACGCCCCAGGGGAATCACCTCAGTCCCTCTGCTCTGTCCTCGCTGAGGCATCCACATGCACCCTGAGCGGAGTGTGTGGTCCCAGCACTGGGTGAGGCGTCGCCCCACCCGAGGGCAGCCTCCGACTGGCTATATATAGGGACAGGTGGCTGAGGGCACAGTACGTGTCTTGCAGGAGGCAGGGGCGACCTGGACAAGCTCACAGCTTTTGGAAGCTGAGACAGACTTCGACTGAAATCGTAATTTTCGACCTGCCGACTGTGTGACTTCAGGCCTGCCAGTGACTCACCTCCCCGAGCCCCAGTCCCTCCTCTGTAGAAACAGGACAGGGCACCTCTCAGACCACTGTAAGAATGAAACAAGGTGGCCCACCCAGAAGGCACACCCGTTCTAAGCCGCTAGGCGCCCCGGGTATTTGTTATCAGGTGGCCCTGGGTGCAGAGACAGAATCGACTCAAGAACTTCCTGCCCGCCCTCCACGCTCACAGATCCCTTCCTCCCGCCAGCCTCCCCTCTGCTCCTGCCCCATCAGCTTCCCTGTCATCCACGCTGCATCCCCAGGACTGTCTCTGGCTCCTTCCCCACAGTCTACACCCCAGGCCCAGTGACCGTCACCCCTGCCCGAGCCTAACCTGACCGGCCACGTGGGGTCACACGTATGTCAGACTGGAAGTGAGGCAGCTGGACGGGCAGCACCGGGCCCACCCAGATGTATAGCACCAGAACCCACATTTTTTTTTTTTTTTGCAGTACGCGGGCCTCTCACTGCTGTGGCCTCTCCCGTTGCAGAGCACAGGCTCCGGACGCGCAGGTTCAGCGGCCATGGCTCATAGCCCCAGCCACTCCGCGGCACGTGGGATCCTCCCGGACCGGGGCACGAACCCGTGTCCCCTGCATCGGCAGGCGGACTCTCAACCACTGCGCCACCAGGGAAGCCCCAGAACCCACATTTTGACAAGATCCCCAGGGATCTGCATGCACATAAATGTGTAGGTTTGGGGACTCCGTGGCTGCCTGTGGCCCTGGGTGGGCTAGGGGACCCCTCTGCAAGTTTCTAGCACAACTGGGTGACACGGTTACTGACTGAATCAGTGAAGACCGAGGAAGCACAGAGTTCAGCTCTACTGTATGTTTTGCGACGTTAATCTGCATCTGACAAACGCACAACCGTGACCGCGCAGCAGAGATCAGCACTAAGTGGCAAGCAGGTCACAACTGCTCCTTCGAAGTAGAAAAGCAAACTGTTTTGGCGTGTGTGACGTGGGGTGAGGGGTGGAGGGCACTCAGGAGCTGACGAGGACCAAGAGGATCCTGACCGTCCCTGAAAAGCCATCTTTTGTTCATGGCCTAGGGACCGTCCGGGGAGCGAGGACGCCAGCCCCCACGGGACACCACTGACAGCTGCTGGTGATAAACTTCACCTCCCGGATCGGCAAGACCAGCATTCAGTGTGCAATCAGCATCCCCAGGCACTTTGCTAAGCACTTCCTCCAATTTATCTCAACTAATGTAACAACCTTCCAAGTAGGACAGGTCACCGTGTTGGACGTGAGATCTCCGAGCTGATCAAGTCACTGACTGTGGTCACGGTATTCGAACACTGGCAGAGCCAGGACTCGAACCCAGGTCTGATGCAGAAACCCTCACTTTCCGGTCAAGACCCTACCCCTGGCAGAGGGACTGGATCTGGGAATGGGCCCTGGGAAGGGGCCCCTGGAAGGGGCGGGAGGTAGACAATGACCTTGGATGAACTTGACTGTGCCCCTCCCCTCCTCTCAGAGGCCAGGAGGGGGACTGTGCAGCCCTCTCATCTATTTAGTAAGAGATCATATCACCCACGTGCAATTAAAGCAACAGAGAACCAAGCCCCAAGCCGAGAAAGGAAAGCCTGTTCCCATGTATGCAATCTCAATTCTTCCATCAAGCCATCCCCTAAGTCGATGCCCAGGAGTTTTATACAAAAGCAGCAGACTCCCCAGCAACCTCAGACGGCCCGGGCCTGGGCACTCTGCCCTGCCCAGAGGGCCACTCCTTACCAGCGTCCTGGTACCGCTGGTAGGCTGGGTCGCTCTCCGCCTTAAAGACCCCAACGATGATGACATCGTCTCCATCCTTCAGGAACTCCTGGACCTGCTTCAGGGCCAGGACCTGCTTGGAGGGTGGCCCGGACTGCTCGATCATGTAGTCGACGATCCCTGGGAGCAGAGCACACGCCTGAGGGGCCGCTTGGGGCTGCAGGGCGCTGTCCCCACAGCTCTGCCGGCGCCCACACGCACCAGGAGCTTCCCTCCCCACTGAGGCCAGAGGAGGTGGCAGTACCGTATTTTTCCCGTGGGCCGTTGTAATCAAAGGGCTTTCCCTTGCGGAAGATTTTCAGGGTGGGATAGCCGGAGACGTCGAACCTCTTGGCCAGGTCTGTCTCTGCGGTGGCGTCGACCTTCGCCAGGGGGATTGGGGGAGAGCGCTTGCTCAGCTCCTTGGCGGCCTTCTCATACTCGGGGGCCAGTTTCTTGCAGTGTCCACACCTGCGAGAGGAAGCAGTTCTGTCAGGGGCCTGTTCTGGTGTGGATGCCACCTGCCAGGTAAGTGAAGCGCAGAAACCCAGCCTGCGCTCTCGGGCGACTGGAGAGATCCGGCCAACCTCGGGATGCCCCCGGGTGAGGGCGGAGCCCGGGCCTTCCCCAGGGGCCAGCAGGATGTGGCCTCCTCCTTCATGGAGGTGGGGGGACGCACACAACACACACACACCCGAGACATGGGTGGACAGGGGCATAACCGTGACACGGGGTAAGACATGGGAAAGGCCAAGACAATTTTCTTGGTTGGAGAGCTGGGACAGGTAAGGATACCAGTCAGTGGTGACTTCACACAGGACGTGAGGGTGAGCTGGGACACAAGGGATGGGCAGGAAGTGGATGCAAGCCTGTGAAGGGGGCGGTGAGGGGAAGGGACAAAAGGCAGGAAGCTCTAGGGGCCCTGGGGCTCCGGCACAAGAAGGGAACACGTCTTGAGTGTAAAGCAAGAGTCAGGGTCAACTTCCAAGATTCACTCCAGAACAGTCGAGAGCAGAGACGAAGACAGAGAAAACCAAGGTTCAAACATCTCAGGAGGGAGGCAGCAAGGCCCAGGGGGGAAGCGGGCACTGCCTGGCGCACGGCCGTGTCCTCCAGCTCCGAGGGGCCCCAGATCGTTGGGTGGCCCCCCTATGTGGCCCACGTGGCTTACTCTCCCCTGCAGGCTCCACGCTTCAGGCCTATATTTTACCCTCATCCTACCCCCCAGGAAAGACTGTGAAACCACCTCTCTCGGAACACGCAGCGCCCCACTCTGCCCACTTGTGCACGGCGGGGACTTTGCACCCGCCTGCTCTTCGGCTAGCCCTGCCTCACATGCGGGGGTCTGTCTCTGCCACCCCCGGCCCGTGCCTGTACCGAACACAGGACAGGCCTGACCAGTATCCGATAACAGGTGATAGGCACCATCTTACCACGGGGCATAAAACTCCACCAGAATGATGCCTGAGTCATTCACCACCTCATCGAAGTTATCTTTGGTCAGCACGAGTGTGACTTCTGGTGGAGGTGTCCAGTTGGGCTGGGAGATCTCTTTGACCTTGGCCACAATTTCTGGAGGAAACAACACAAGACTGAGCACATGCAGGCCCCCGCTCCAGGGGTGGCAGGTGGTGAGGGGTGAAGAGAGAGAGCGGGGCCACAGAACAGGACCCATGTGATTTCCTGAAATCCAATCACATCTACAGCCAGGGCCACTCTGCACAGTTAAGAGCCAGAGGCCCACTGTTTCCAGCAGCCGTCCGTCATGGGTCCAACTGCCACACGCACCCGCTGCGGACTGCTCGAGACAGTCCAAACCCAACCCGACGAATGAGACTTCCGTTCCTAACACGCCAGGGTTCTAACTGCACTTGAACCCCGAGAGGTCATCTCCCAGTGTTTGACCACACATGCCTATTAATAGTTTTGGGGGCATCCTCTTAACTCGTACAAATACATATGTATTTAGACACGCACATCTAGCACTGGCATGTTACACGCATCATAAAGCGTAACCAAACTGGAGAAAAATGAAAAGAGAAGCAGCAGCTCCCACGCCGCTCAGGCTGCACAGACTGCAAACGGCCCTTCTGTGGCCTGCTTCCCCGGAGATGGATTCAACGCCAGGCCTGGGACACTGAATATATTCTCGCAAAGCACTTTCCAAGGGGTTCTTAGGAGCAGTGGCTGCAAACTCTTTCTCTCCTTTTTTGCCATAGAATCTACCAAGGAGCCAGGTCTGAGACCCACTGCCGCAAAGCGCGAGCTTTCAGACTGGAGCGCACAGAGCAGTACCTGCCGGTGTAGGCAGAGCCAAGGCCCTGGGGCCATCAACGCAGGCGAGCCCCATTATTAAGACGCACTGGGAGGGCTGGTGCCTGGGGAGGCCACTTAGGCAAACTCTGCTCTCAAGATTCCAAACTGGGCCACGTCCCTAGCTGGCAGGTGTCAAGCGCAGACCTCCAAATATACAAGTCTGTCACAGGACAGACTCTCGTACCAATTCAAAGGGAACCTTGAGATCAAGTCCCCATGACCTCACACTCCGTGATGAGGAGCCCAAGGCCCAGCAAGGGAGGCCCTTGTGGGGGACACAGGGCTACGTGATGGCAGTGAAGACCCCAAACCTATTCAGTGCTATTTCTACTACGCTATACTGGGAATGGAAAATGCAGCACAAAGCAATCTTTTTTCTTAAGTGATTAAGAGATACGCTAAAGGCTACCACAATGTTATTTTCTCATTCATTTAATGAAACTTATTTAGTGTCTGATGTGAGCCAGGCAGGGACCCATCGGGCCTGGCTTTAGAAACACTGACTGGCTCCGCACACCAGTGGTTCCAATGTGGGGCTCTGGACCTGCACGTTCGGCAAGCCCTTAGAGCTCGCAAGAGATGCAGGTTATTGGGCCAGACCTGAAACTTAGTGAATCAGAAGCTCTGGTCTGGGGCTCGACAGTCTGTCTAAATGAGCCCCCTCAACCCCACCCCACCCCATCAGACCCCCCGTGAGTCGGATACAAGCTAGACATTCAGAAGCACCGCTCCAGCGCACTACCAAGACCCATGACCTGTAACACACCAGCTCCAGACCTTGAGTTTCATGGTCGTCAATGGAAGAAGATACCCCCTCCCATGCAAGGACAAGTTTACGCTGATCCAAGTTTCCGCGAACATTCCATCAGGGATCACTCCCCATCCACTCAGCTTGGCTTCCTTTCTAATATCCAAATTCCCCTCCCATCACCCCCTCCACTTTCCCTTCCAGGGGGAGGGAGCCCTGTCCCCGACTTCCACCAGCAGCTCAGAAGCCACTCACCTTCCTGGGTCCTGGAGCCCTCGTAGTCGACAGCCTGCCCCTTCTTAAGGATCTTGATGGTGGGATAGCCACTCACATCAAACCTACTGGCCAGCGCCGATTCCGAGGTCGCGTCGATCTTGGCGACAGCAATGGGAGGGTCATTCTCCCTCAAGGTAGTGGCGATTTTTTCATATTCTGGAGCAAACTGCTTGCAATGCCCGCACCTGAGAATTAGATTTCGGGAAGAAGCAGCAGGTTAACTGTATCCATGGAGACGTAAATCCAGCAACGCGCACACAAACGGGGACACTGGGACCAGAAATGTTTGCAGTTAACAAGAAACACAAAACAGGGAGGCCAAGGCAGCTGAAAGTCAAACAGATCCAGGTTCGAAACTCAGCTCTGCTGAGGGAACATGCTTTCAACATCTCTACACCCCAGGGTGAGGAGAAAACTCTTCCTGAAAGATGCCATCTTTTCCACTCCTCTCAGAAGCATACGGCAGGGTTTTCCAGAGGCTACGTGATCGACGATGATGTCAGCATTCTGATGTGAACATGTAAGAGGGCTACTGTTATTTAAAGATGGCCTTTTCTATTTCTCAGTTTTAAATCCCGATACGGTAACTACTGATAAACATGACCCACATAACAAGCTATTTGAGGTCCTCAATTATTAAATGTTAAGGGGTCCTGAGAGAACAAAATGTTTGAGAACGGCTGATGTATAAACCAGGAACAATGTAACCTCATAGGCCTGTCCTAAGGTCTGTTTAGATACTTTTACAAAGCATCTCACACTGTGCTAGACAAACAACGTAAGAATATCTTGACTATTTTTTCTCCGAAGTGAACCAAGGAGGGCAGGAGAAAGGGGAAAAAGAAGACGGGATTATGAGATGGAAAAAACAGCAGAAGAGAGGTGGGGGGAAGGAGCCCAAGAGTCATGACTGGCTGCCCCGTGAGGGTGAAAGATGGGAAAAGAGGGGCTGCTCCCCCAGGGCCCATGCACCTTTCCTATGGGAGGCCCCAGGGGCTGCACTGGGCAGCCACCAGACTCCGGGCAGGAGGAGGGGGTGGAGGGCGGAATCTGTAATGAGGGATGCGCCTGTCACCCACGCAGGTCTCTGTGTCATCACAGCTCGTTAGCCGCCCCCAGCTGTAACTAGCAGAGGACGTGTTCACATTTTTAAGCACTGGATCTGAAACGGGCGGGGCCCGTGGTCTGTGAGGGCTGGCTCGTCGGACGCTCAATGCAAATTGGCAGAATGCTGAGCTCCTGGCGCTCCCGAACCAGGAGTCTGGGTTCCTGCACCCGGACACTCCCACCCTGCGGGGTCCGGATGGCTCTGAGGGGTCCAGCCTGGGACACAGAGGAACCCCTGGTCCGTCTGGCTGAGGGGCGGCGCGTGGGTCCTCACCATGGAGCGTAGAACTCCAGCAACACCGTGTCTTGGTCAGCCACAAAGTTATCAAAGTTCGCGTCATTTAGGACTGAGACACCGTTTTCTTCCTTAACTTCCAAGTCATCGCCGTCGTCCTCGTCATCTTCCTCCTCCTCGTCTTCCGCCTCAATGGCATCCTCTTTCTTAGAAGAATCTGTGCAGAAAATACCCAGACTGGTTAGGAAAATGGTGACCCTCCTCCTTAAAAATCTTCCTAGAGGGACTTCCCTGGTGGCACAGTGGTTAAGAATCCGCGGGCCAATGCAAGGGACACGGGTTTGAGCCCTGGTCCGGGAAGATCCCACAGGCCGCGGAGCAACTAAGCCCGTGCGCCCAACTACTGAGCCTGCGCTCTAGAGCCTGCGTGCCATAACTACTGAAGACCGCGTGCCTAGAGCCCGTGCTCCGCAACGAGAGAAGCCACTGCAATGAGAAGCTCGCTCACCGCAACAAAGAGTAGCCCCCGCTTGCCACAACTAGAGGAAAGCCCACGCGCAGCAACGAAGACCCAACGCAGCCAAAAATAAATAAATACGTAACTTTACTCAAAAAGAAAAAAAAAAATCTCCCTAGAACCCAAAACGCTCAAAACGGTCACGAGTCCTGCGTGGTCCCTGGGGGCCTCCCCGACCCCAGGAATTTGCATATCGGGTGGCCACTTAAGATTTCACTTAAAGGGAGGTCATGCCTAAAAGATGGCTGAAAACTGACTACAGGTCTAGAATTTAAAGTCTAAAAACTGCAGCAGGACTCGGAGGGCAGGACCAGCCCCCTCTCCAGATGGAGCACTCCCTCCCCGGCCCTGCTCTGCAGGCCTCCAGCCCAGGTACAGAGAACCCACCGTCCTGCTCCCCAGGCACAGACCTGATGCACCCCTCGGGCCGCCCCGCACAAGGCTCCTGACCCTTACGCATGCTGTGCGCCTCAGGCTCCTCACTTCGTGGGCCCCCCACATCTGTGCTTAAGGGCCAGGCTAACTTTCATACACGTGTTGCTCTTCCTCACCCTCTCTGCTTCCACAGGCAGGAAGGACTGCATCTAATCCCCCCCCACCACTGCCCAATGAATGACTGACTGCCTGGTCCCCAGATCAGTACAAACAGGAAACAAGTACTGGTCTCAACTTTTCCACCCCGGAGGTTACTTGGGCTGACTTTGTAAGTATTTTTATGATGCCCCACACTCCTCCCTTCACATTTCAACCTTTTGCTGAAGGATTGTAACACCCGTGGGGCTATTTTTTATGTGTATGAGGTAATAATGCCACCCCTTTCAGAAATGGATTAGGATTCCGTCCTCCAGAATGAAAAGCTGAGAACCAGCACTTGTTTCCTGTTCGTACCTTTGTAGGACGCCCTGCCTGGAAGCAAAGTACTCTTTCCAGAACGCAAGCATATGAGCACATCTTATTATCAAGGTTCAACTGAATTTGTTGCTGAACTACAGGTACCAGAAATCCTGAACAGCAGTTCTCGTTACCCAGGTTCCCCAGCTGCTACCACGCCAGCAAACAGAACTGCAGCCAGCACGATTTCATCAACTCCAAAGGCAGAATGTTTCAGAGCCAATTATTTATTTTTGGAGATGCTTCCCAGGAGAGAAACCAACACTGACAGCGGGGCTGAGGTCAAGGCTCGAAAACCTGCCCTTGTGATCCAGGAACCCCTGGGACTTGACCAATCTTAGCCGCCCCTGAACTGATCCAGTGCTGGCTCTGCAGGTGCTCAGAAAAGCCAGGAACTGGTCTGGGCAGGGTGGCAGCTTTGCTCGGTATCATTAAAATCTACCAATCTGCACACCAATTGTCAAAAGTAAACCAAAAACCCACCCCACCCGCTGAGCCCCACTTTCCTCCACATTGTCCCTTCAAACACCCACTGCTTTTTCCTTTCACACCCCCCCCAACTTAAGGCAGAAATTCCTCCATTGCGCGGGCAGGAGAAACGGCTCTAAAATCCAAAAAGAACACCCACCAATTTGAGGAGTACATATCCAGCAGACTCCCATGTTTCTTGGGGCACGTTACCGGCCCTGCCCACAGTCTTCCTCCCGCCCTCCCCGAGCTCCCCAGCCACCTCGCCACTTCCCTGCTCCTCATCAGGGACCCTGCGAGGTGGTCAGGCCTGCAGAAGCCCCAGGCCCCCAGCACTGTCAGCAGGAGGCTTGGGGAGAGCAATGAGAACCAGGCTCCCTGGACGTGGAGGGGGCAGGACCCAGAGGAAGACAACCTGGGCTCAACCCCAACGCCACCTCTCAGGGCTGTGGCCTCAGCTCGTTTCTTTACACTCACATCACACTGAATCCCCTTCCACTGGTGACTGGCAGCCAACACGATACACCCAGGTCCTCGGGAATCCTAGGACATAACTCTTGAGAACCTCCGGGTTTACGCCAGCTGGCTAGGGGCTCCCGGTACAGGAACACTGCCTACAACAAACTTGCAGGATAAGTACTAGCTGACCCATGTCGGCCTGCAGAACCTTGTCACAGTGGCTTTCAAAAGGCTAGTCTGACCACCCCTCACTTGAAAGTCCCACCCAAAATGACCCACATCGGGGCTGCAAACCCGGGGGCTTAATGTGGGTATGTCGTGCAGGTTCTCTGCTCCTGTTGGGGACCTAGGAAGCACCACACGCCTTGCCCCAGATCTGGGTGCTCCCACGGCCCGGAAGGCCTGCTGTGGGCAGTTAGGTAGATGCCCCAGGCAGTGCATCTCCACTCTCACCGCCTGGCTGCTCAGCTCAGTCCGAGAATCAAGTTTACTTGCGGGCAGACGGAAAGACTGGAGGAAGGGTGGAAAGAAGGCTCGGGAGAACTTAATCCTCTCTTCAAGCTAGGAAACACAGCTCGGGAAGGAAGAGGGACTCGGCTATCTGCTCAATGCACAGGGATAAGGTGAATTTTACAAAATGGAAAAGCAAAGATGCTTTCCTACCTACACCCAGCCCAAAGTGGTCTGAGAGCACTATTGGTAATGGGGCTCTCACGATTAAATGGGGGTCCATGAGTTATCCTGGGACAGAGCTCCAAACAGTGAATTCATTTCTTGACACTTTTTAAAAAATTGACTTTGAGTTTATATTTTTAAGGATAAACAAAATGGCAGAACATTCCCTACATAATTAAGGATCCTCAATAGCATTAAGGCATGGCCCCCCTTTCCATTCCTCCCCAAGTTGCAGACAATCCCCAGGGTTGACTCCTCTGCAACTGGAGAAGGTGCTGGCTCTATATTCCCATGGACTAAAACCCCACACATCCGGACAAGGAAAATATCTCAGTTTAATGGGGAGACCACTCTTCACTGGGCTTCACTTTTAAAGTTGGACATTCTAGGATAGAAACATATCCAAAGCCTTCCAGCACCTTCTGGAAGGGCGCCATCCTCCCCAGCGTGTAGTCAGTGAAGCCTCTTGCATCATCTCCACAGACTGCGTAGCCCACCCAGTAAGGCCACTCCTGAAATGTAGGCCCCTCCTCTAACCAGGTCACTGCAACCCCTGCCCACTCCCACCAGTACATCTGACAACACTGGATCCTGCCCAGGCTGGACACCAGCGGCTCCTTACAGCATGTCCTCATCTGCCTTCTCAGCTGGCCGGTCTTCCAGTCCCCACCAGGGAGGTGCCCATAAAAGTTGGGTAAATCTTACCATTAGGTCAATACTGAATAGAAAAAGAGAAATTTGTTATCAGATATAACATCATTTAACTGGTATGTTTTATGCGCCAGGCACCGTGCTGGGCACTTAAGCACACTCTCTCATCCCCCAAGGGAAACACATTACATGCACTTTACAGAGGAAGAAACAGAGAGCTTTAGTCACTTGCCCAAAGGCACAAGGCTACTGAGTGGAGGGTCCTGACCGTTCAGCTGCTATGCCATGGTGACACATAGGATTTTCTTCCCAGGATGCCCCAAGTTTAACACGGACTCGTTTGACAATTACCTTCCCAGAAAGGAAAAGAGAGGGGCAGCTGGACAGTTCCCCAGCACTGTACCCAAGTGAATTTCCACTTACTTTAAAATCTAAACCAATCCCAAATGAAAGCAAGCAAGGGACTTCCCTGGTGGTCCAGCGGTTAAGACTCTGCACTCCCAATGCAGGGGGCCCCGGGCTCCATCCCACATGCCGCAACTAAGAGTCCACATGCCGCAACTACAAGAGCTCACAGGCCGCAACGAAGATCCTGCATGCTGCAACTAAGACCCGGTGCAGCCAAATAAATAAATAAGTAATAAAATAACTAAGAACCTGCATGCCCAGCAGTGAGGCAAAATTAGGGAAAACCCCCTAAGGACAGGGACCATCTGGGGTAGAGGGAAGTGTGGCCCTAAAATAAATCCACGGGATGGGTTACCTGTGATAGAAGCTGAACGTGAAGATCCAGGGATGGGAAAGAGTCAAGGTAACTACTAGAAGCCCCACCCTACCCAACTGCAGAGATTCCCGGGCTCACCCCAGAGGCGGCTACTTCCCAGGGTCTCCAGTGCATTAGTGACCTGTGACCGAAATGACAGACTCACTCTTCCTAATAGCCCTTGGTGTCCACCCATGTTTGCCACCCTTCCAGGCCTCTTAAGAATTCCCGCAAAATAGAATCACTGGATCAGAACCAAGACAAAGCTAGTTTGCTCTTTGGCTACGTTCCAAAAACTACCCTCCATCTCCACTGGTCCTCAAACTTTAAGGTGCCTCCCAAAGTTTACCTTGCCCAGGAATCAATGAAATGTTTAACATGCAGATTCGAGGGCCCACTGCTGCAGTCCGCTTGGGTGTATTTTGGGAGTCTGTACTTAAATAAGCACCAGGTGATTTGGATAAAGGTCCTAAGACACTTGTAGGTGACACTACTCTCTAGTTCCTGTTGGCAGGTAGGTGTTCTTCTCACCAGGCGCTGGTTTTTAACTTCCCTTTCTATGTGGGTAAAGACTCTTGAATCATTGACTTGCATAAAAGTTACTCAAGCTGTTTAAAAGAGTATAAAGTTCACAGTTCCTTTACACACCAACGTTAGAAAAAGGGGCTTATTTATATTGGAACAAACTCAACAGGAAAAAACTCTAGTCACCTAGAGAAAGGCCAGAGAGGAAGAAGTTTAAGACCAGTAATGCGATGCCCTGTTCTCTAGGAATTAGCACTCTTTTCTTGACTAAACTTTCTAATTTTCCAAGTTCTCTTACACCATTTTTTTAGCTAGCCGACTTCAAAGAAAAATGCAGGAGTGGTGACTAGTAGCTGCGAACCTTCCTCCCAGAGCGGGCGCTTTATGGGCAGGGGCCACACTCATCCTTAACTCCCACAACCCAGCGCAGTGACCGGCACACACAGTAGGTGCTGAATAAATGCTCGCAAAAGGAATGCTATCTCCGGTTTCCAAAAGATGCAAACCAAGCCATCCCTTTCTCCCTCAAACCAGAACCCTTGAGTTACTTATATCCAAACCTACAAACCACAGTTTTGAGACGAAAAATGCTTGCTGCCCGCGGTTGTCCCGAGAGCTCCCACTTGGGGCTTCGTGCCCTCGCCCCTTCTCTAAAATCTGTTTTGAAACCAGAGGCCCCTCTCCCTTCACACTCCCTGGACGTGTTAGCCTCAAATGCTGAACCAGTTCCCAAGCTCCCGTTCCCAGGAGCGGGAAGTCAGCCTGGACTCGAGGAAAACCTGAGCAGAATCACGGCGAAGGAGCCAGCATGCAAAGAAGGCACTTTACATCCTCTCCGCGTTCAAGCCTCAGTGGCAGCCCCAGCCACTTCGCCGCCCTCCTCTCCCGGATCTCCCAAGCGATCCTGTCCCCCGCTACCGCCCTCAAACTGCAGCACGTCGGCGGTCCGCGCGGCGACCCCGCCCACAGGCCCGGCCCGCCGCCGCTCACCTTCATCCGGGCCCTCTGCGCTCGCCGCTGCCAGCAGCTGCGCCAGGGCTAAGAGCAGAACGAGCAGCCAGGCTTCCCGGGGCCTCATCGCGGCGGTGCGGAGCTCGGCCTCCTCGCGCCGACGGCCACTGGGCGATCCCAAACCTCTGGCTCCGGTCTCGCGAAAGGAAACGAGAGGTAAGGAAAGAAACTCCCCCCCCCGGAAGACCTAGCCGGCAATTGACTTGGGGCGGGGGAAGCCGCGGACCGGCCAATCCCAGCCCGACCTGGGGCGGGGGCCGCGTGCGTCGAAGTGCGCGTCCGAGCGCCAAAGTGCGCGTCCCAGCTGCGCAGCACAGTCCTCAGCGCAGATCCTCCTCCCTGGCCTCCTCCGCAGGCCCCGCGGCTCCGGCGTTTAAAGATCAGAGCGCTACCGTGAGGTGCCCCCTTCTGATTGGCTGCGCCGCGGCCTCCAATCAGCAGCTGCCACTCGGTTTGCCTGGAGCGCACAGGCTGAGAGAAGGAGCTGCGGAGAACAAAAGCGGCGGGCAGGAGCCGGAGGGGCGGGGTCGGGCTACGCCTCGGGAGCAATTGGCCGGTGGAGCGGTAGGCGGGGCCTTGGAAATGCGAGGCGGGCGGGGCTCCAGGCTGCTGATCTGGGCAGGAAGAACACGTGTCCTTAGCGGAACGTTGGTGAGAGGGTACGTGTGCGCAACTCTGGGGGACGCCGGGGGGAGCTCAAGAGCGAAGCGGCGGAGAGGCCCGAACTAGTCTGTTGGTGGGAAAGAGAGAGAACGGGACTCCGGAGTCGGCTTCATGTTCGTGGTCTTTTTGGTTTATGCCTGCGCGAATGAAAGTTGGCATTTCTTTCCTGGATTAAAACACAAATTGGCCTAGGGACGGGGGTCGCATGCAGTAAAAGTGAATCTAGAACTAGGATTTGGGGAAGCTTCTCTCTAGGGTTTCATCTATGAGCAGGCCATCAGGTGCGTGTCTAAACTTTGCTTCATGTTATCAGTTTCTCCTGATTTTACGCAAAATCTATAGGTTTACACAAGTCTGAATATAGGCTTGAGGTTTTCCCTCTTGACAATTTAGGAGGAAAAAAACTAGATTAAGATAGATAATGATTTTTGTACGTCAAGCCGTGATGTGTTTTAGGGTTTGAGATTTCTTTAACACCTGGGGATTCATATGCCTGAAGAGTTACGGAAGACAAATAGGTCAAATTAACAAAACTCGAGGGTCCAGAAGTAGTTTTCTGTGTATACAGATTGTCAGGAAGAAAGAAAGCTAACTACTCACAGGCTTTAGTAATTAGAAAGTTTTTTATTTGATTTATTAAATTTAATAAATTTCTATTGAACTACTGAATCTGATGGTACTCCCCTCAATTTTGTAGGGCAGGAAGACATTATTCAATTAACTGTAACGACAGGATGAGTATGCACTAAGTGATTTATCAGAATGCTCTGAATGTAGAATATCAAACAGTTGAATATCATTTTAAGAAACTCTTTAGGAGGCTTCCCTGGTGGCGCAGTGGTTGAGAGTCCGCCTGCCGATGTAGGGGACACGGGTTCGTGCCCCGGTCCGGGAAAATCCCACATGCCGCGGAGCGGCTGCACCCGTGAGCCATGGCCGCTGAGCCTGCGCGTCCGCAGCCTGTGCTCCACAACGGGAGAGGTTACAACAGTGAGAGGCCCGAGTACCACAGAAAAAAAAAAGAAACTCTTCAAAAAGATAGTGTGCCCAGCCAAAATTTTTATCTTTCTTGGTAGTTTCCTCTGAATCCTTATTAAACTGAGGATTGAGAATACCATTTGCCCAGAAGTGGGACAAATACAACCAATTTCACTAAGACCCTTTGTTGATCCAAGGTATGAGAGGAAACCTCTCAAAATGCAGTATATATGTATGTATACAAACACATATATATGAAATCAGTATCATATTACTTGTGAAATTAAAGTAATATTTTCTTTTTAAAAAACATTTAGAGCAATGAACAATGAATGAACAGTTCATTCAACAGCAAAACATTAGTTTATCAAGTTGAAAAGCTCCTCACTTTTTCTTTATCCCCAAATATCACCAGGTTTGGTTATATGGGTACAAGTAGGCTGGAGACCACTGTGTTCAGGGTCAGAATGGAGAGAGAGATTTTTGTGATTATCTGCAAGATCTTTATAACTAGTTGTGAACATAGGAGGCTGCCTTTAAGACACAGAACTGGCCCCTGGCTTGTCCTCAGGGCTGCCATTTAACACTGTTAGGTTATGTTTATAGATCAATTTGAGCATGTGCTTCCCTCTTCTCCCAAATAGCACTCTCTAGAGAAGCGGCCTATGGGGAAATAATCTTCCCCATTATATAGTCTCCAGGTGGATCTGTGACAATATCATTACCAATCTTGGCACTTATGTCAGTTTTCACAAGCCAACAATATATGGTCAGAAAACTGTAAACTGAAACCAGGCAGCTGCACATCTGCATGCCCTGAATGCATGAGGCTTATGATCAATCTTTTGGGGGAATTAAACCCTGTGGGATGAAACCATTTCTTTTATGTGCTGGAGAACTCAGGAATGGTCCTGACTATCTTTCCCATGGTTCTGATATAGTCCCCTTTCAGTAGAAAGGGGAAAGAAAAGCTGAAGTTTTTGGAAATAAAGGGATTTGTTTTCAGAAATCTCTGCCTTTTCAGGCAAACACTACTGTAGCCAGAGATACAATCTGCATGTACTTTTCTAGCTTACATTTTTAACTTAAAATCACATCATACTCATTTTCTCACGCTCTTACATTGTCTTCTGAAGGAATTGAGCTCTCCCTTGAAGGGTCCACCTTGACTCATGAAGATGAGAGACTGAAATGAGGTCCCATGCACACACTCAGACCTCCTTTAGCTGCTCAGGCAGCTGCCTGAGAATGCCTACCATATTTGTTAACTCCATCCTGTTCATAGCTGAGACATGGTACTCAGACTCTATCCTTACCTTTTAGGATGTAATGATATTCAGCTACTGCAACTTTTATTGAATCTTCCAATCGCTTGGAGTATTTACTGCCTTTGATGTGATTCAAAACAGCAAAATGTTCACACTGCAAGTGTGACCAAACATTGAGAGTAAGACTAAGCCAGCATTTTTGCAGGAGATTGTCTGTGATAAGACATTCTTTCCAAGTTTGCAAATATAGGTAACTTGCACAGCCATTTTGTTTGTTTGTTAAGCCAGTGGTCTTGGCCACCATTTCTCATTGTTCTATGGTGAACGAATTCTTAAGAAGATGTTTTAAGACTCAAACTGAGGTTATTTTAGTATTATTGTCACCAAATGCTAGGTTCCAGACATTTGGTAGCTGTTACTAAAGAGACCAATGCCCTTGTGGAAATTAAATAGTAAAACTTAAAGACAGAATACCTTTATATTAGAAACAAAAAAATATTTACTGTGTTTGCTGTGAAAGGTTAAGAGTAGAGGCTCTGGAGTCAGACCTCACAGCCTTGAGTTTAGACCCTACCAACTTTTTACTCATTCAGTATTTATTGTGTACCTACTATGTGACTAGTGATTTTCAGTGTGCAATCTTGCATATATTTTTGCTATTTTTTTAAAAGATTTATTTATTATATATTTATTTAATTTATTTTTGGCTGCGTTGGGTCTTAGTTGTGGCACACAGGATCTTCACTGAGGCACACGGGATTTTTCATTATGGTGCGTGGGCTCTTCATTGTAGTGGGCGGGCTTCTCTCCAGTTGGGGTTTGCAGGTTTTCTCTTCTCTTGTTGAGGCACACGAGCTCAGTAGTTGTGGCTTGTGCGGCTTAGTTGCCCCGTGGCATGTGGGATCTTAGTTCCCCCAACCAGGGGTCAAACGTGTGTCCCCTGCATTGTAAGGTGGATTCTTTACCACTGGACCACCAAGGAAGTCCCTATTTTATGCTATTTTAAGTGAATCTTTAAATTTCACTTGAAATTAGAAATTTCAAATTCCTATTGTTCATTGAAAGTATGTAGAATACAATTGATTTTTGTATATTGACCTTGTCTCCTGCAACCTTACTAAACTCACAGCAGTTTTCGTAGCTTTGTTTAGATTCCATTGGATCTTCTACATAAATCATGTCACATAAAACTGCAAATAAAGACAGTTTACTTCCTTTTTGTTACGGACGCCTTTCATTTCTTTTACTTTCCTTATTTCACTGGCCAGAATCTCCAGTACAATGCTGAAGAGAAGTAGTGAGAGAAGATATCCTTGCTTTGTTCTAGATATCAGGGGAAGAATTCAGTCTTTCCCATTATTTGATGTTAGCTATAGGTTTGTAGCAGATGCACTTTTGAGGTTGAGGAGGTTCCCTTCTAATTCATAGTTTTCTGAGAGACTTTTTTTTTAAATCATGAATACATCATATTGTTTTTCTTTTTTAGTTTGTTCATATAGATTAATATATTGATTGGTTTTCAAAAGTTAAACCAACCTTGCATTCCTGAGACAACCTGCACTTGGTCATGATGTATTATCATTTTTATATATTGTTGGATTTGATTTACCAAAATTTTATTAAGAGTTTATATATCTATGTATAAAAATATTGGTCTTTAATTTTCTTGTTATATTTTTATCTGGCTTTGATAAATCAGTAATGCTGGGCTCACAGAATGAGTTGGGAAGTATTCTCTCTTTCTCAGTTTTCTGGAATAGTTTACCAATTCACTAGAGAATTGGTAACGTTCTCTAGTGAAATTTTCTTTGTGGGAAAGATCTTAACTATAAATTCAATTTCTTTAATAAATATTAAGGCTATTCAGTTTATCTATTTCTTCTCAAGGGAGCTTTGGTAATTAGTGGGAATTTGTCCATTTCACGTAAGTTGTCAAATTTATTGTCATAAAGTTGTTAATAATATTCTTTTTTATGTTTTAAATAACTGTAGAATCTGTAGTGAGGTCACTTCTCTTACTGCTGATATTGATAAATTTTTTTTAATAAAATTTATTTATTTATTTATTTAGGCTGTATTGGGTCTTCATTGCTGCATGCAGGCTTTCTCTAGTTGCTGCGAGCGGGGGCTACTCTTTTTTTTTTTTTTTCTTTTGGTACGCGGGTCTCTCACTGTTGTGGCCCCTCCCGTTGCGGAGCACAGGCTCCGGACGCACAGGTCCAGTGGCCATGGCTCACGGGCCCAGTCGCTCCACGGCATGTGGGATCCTCCCGGACCGGGCACGAACCCGCATCCCCTGCATCGGCAGGCAGACCCTCAACCATTGCGCCACCAGGGAAGCCCCAGGGGCTACTCTTCCTTGCGGTGCATGGGCTTCTCATTGCGGTGGCTTCTCCTGTTGCAGAGCACAGGCTCTAGGCACGCAGGCTTCAGTAGTTGCATC